AATAACCTATAAAAATAATAGTTGAGTTTGGGATGTGGCTCAGTGGTAGAATGATTTCCTGCTATATGCAAGGTCCTGGATTCAAATCTTAGTATCACAAAAACAAACAATCTCACTCCCTTGTCCACCCTCCCACTAATTATACAACACAGTGACTACAGTTAATAATAATGCATTGTGTACTTGCAAATTGCAAAGAGAGTAGATTATAAATGTTCTCACTACAGAAAAATGATAAGTATGTGAGGTAATGCACATGTTGATTATTTTGATTTAGCCATGTCACCTAGCCATATATCAGAGCATCATGCTGTAGTACACCACAAATATATACATTCATAATTTGTCAATTAAAGAAAGGATAATGCTAAAGAGTGGGGGAAGGGATGGAAAAGCCAACTGCTATATTTATAAGAAACATTTACCCATAGAAAAAAGAAGAGAAAATACTAGCCACAGGAAGTCTGAAAGTCTGTCTGGAAGTGGCCAATATGTCTAAACGTTCTGGAGGATACAAATAAAAATTCTGTGGTGAAGCTCATGGCATGGGTCGAGAACCAAAGTGCTTCTCCCAGCAGTGAACTTGGCATGAGTCAGGACGGGGTTTAAGGCTATCTGTGAAGAATGGCAAAACCAGAAATCAGACACCTGTGAGGCAGAAGAAACAAGGGAGGGGCGAGGACAGTCATTCTGGGAATTACTAAAATATAAAGGGCAAGGCCATAATCTTTTTAGGTAAGATTATGGTTGCACTCATAAGCTGAAGTGTGAGTGTGTGTGTGTGTGTGTGTGTGTGTGTGTACATGCATTGGAAGAGGGATTGCTCATAGATGATAAAAGTGATGGTAAAATCTACAAGTGCTCCATATATTAAGACAGCTGTCAATGCGTGACCTCACAAAGAAAACTCAATTGTCTCTTTCAGAGGCTGTGAAGCTTCTCATTGCACAGGGAGATCCCCTAAGCCCTGACCTCAACCAGTTGGGGGCAAGAAAATATTTATAAACCCTGGCTCTTTATTTGACTATAGCCAGGGTAATAGGTATCGATATTCTCTATTTGACTCTCTCTTCCCTGTTTCATAGGACCAAAGAATTTCTTGCTCCTTTCAGGCCTGTTCTCACTACAGATATCATACGTTTGTCACATCCAGCCTTGGAGGTAGTTCTTTGTCATTAGAAGATGATAGATAAATCTATATGTGAATATACTGGATAGTAAAAAATAAGTAAGTACACTTGGACATGATATATTATACAGGACTCTAGACATTCACATAGTGAGACCAGGAGAATATTCTTAGGAGAGGATAACAAAGGCTCAATAGCTATGTGCATATGTTCATATAAAATGATGTTTATTGAAATAGACTCCAAGAAATGGAAACATGAGTTTTTTTTGTTATTTTGTTTTTGTTTTTCTCCTTTGTTGCTGGTTTTGTCTTCTGTACCTTTTGTCTTCTATGTACATTTATCTGTTTTAGGGAGGGTAAGGGGAACACAGAAATGGAGGGGCAAAAGGCGAACAAAGGGTGAATACTCACTAGACACTATTTTGAAAATGAACAAAACAACTTGTGGAGCGGAGTTAGAAGGGAAAAACTGGGAGAGAATGAGGGAAGAGATGATACTGTTCACAAAGAAATGACTTATGTACCTGACTTATGTAACTGTAACCCCCTGTACATCGCCTTTACAAAAACAATAAAAAAATTTGAAAAGGATGATAGAAATCCATACAAACACATAGTTGCTTTCAAAAATAAATGCCAATGTCTACTTCAAAGCCAACCATCCTTCTTGCAAAGCAAGCCCACAAGTACCAGTGACCTTGTAACCACAGAGTGTTGGTACTAAGACTCAAATCCATAGGGCTTGCCTTGGAGAAATTCTTTGTCTTAGCCTTGATTTGACATTAGGTCCCTAGGGTTCTATGTGTTCATAATGTAGCTCTTCTAAGAGGAAAAATCAACTTACTCAGAGGCTTTCCCCTGCAACGAGCATAGTCAAATTTGTTTTATTCCCCTTTTCTCTGTGAGCAACTGCCTTTGGTCTAAGACCCATAGAGAAAAACAGGGAAGTTTCTATATAGAATACTTGGATGACTACAGTTGGTTCAAGTTCCTGACATTATCTTGGTCTTGACTTTGTCTCTTTATTCCATTCTCCACGTCCTTCCTCATTCTCCCAGAGAATTTTGGTGGCACAGAATAAATGAGGGAGACCTGCAATGAGAATGAGACTCTTGCCTGGTTCTCTCTCAAGAATTAATGATGTGTCCATGTAGGGTGTGTGCTGTGTTTGAGGGAGTCATGGTATGACTTGAATTTCTCACTATGAGTGACTTTCTTGATATATATGAGATTCTTGCAAAAAAGGCCTCACCAAGTTCAATTTTCAGTACTCTGTTCTCTCCCCCTCTCCTTTCTCATTCTCCTCCTCCTCCTCTCCTCCTCCTCCTCTTTCCTCGCTCTCCTCTCTCACATCTTAGCACTATCTTATTGAAGTTGACTATAGAGTAAAAGACTTAATATTCCAAAGGAATTTCCCTGCAGATGCAAAAGGCCTACCTGGCTTCTTTTTTCATGGAAAAATAAATACTTCTTGCTTATGTTTTTCTTCTAGGTAGTTCAACTAAGATAGAAGAAAAGAACCAGCAGTAAGTAGCCATGAGGTACCACACACACTGATAATTACTTCATATAAGAAACTCTACGAACAAAGTGGCTTCTGAGAATGAGATGACATTCTGCTGTTCCTTTCCACCCAGACCAGTGCCCCAAAATGACTCCTCTTAAGAGTGCCTTCATGAAGCTGTCCTGCCATCTGGCTGACAGGAGTGAGTGGAAAGAAGAATGGAGAGAGAACCAGGATTCTTCAGCTACAAATTAAAGGTCTTATAATTAAAGGTAGTTGGGCCCTTAGCCAGGGCCAAGGAGCTGCATCATACTAAGCATTGCATTTGAAGTTCACTACCTCAGGACCACACATCATTTACCTGGAACTGTACTCTGCTGTGTCAGGTTAATTTCAGGCAAAAGCGCAAAGAAGGCCAAGTTTGCCTGTTTGCAGTCCTACCAGCAGTGATTCCCCACCCCTACCCCTGCCTGAGCTCCTTGAGCTGCACCTGATTCATCTTTCAAGCAAAACACCAGCAGGCTGTTTCCCCAGGGCCATGATCTCAGATCTGGAGCTGATAAGCTAATTGGGGCTAATGTGATAATAGGCAATAATGACATTTACTGTTTTTATCAGGCTCAAGGCATACATACACCTTTGCTTGTTAACAAGGCCCTCCCTCGGCTAATATGGGAAGTGGCATCTGAGGAGAGGGTCGCAATGTGTGATGGCGGCTAGAGAGACAGAGGGCCTTTATGGAACTGCCCGTTCACTACTCAAATCTTCAAGATCTCCTTTAAGATCTGTTGGAATTCCAAGAGTCCCCTCTCCAAGGCCCCCTACACTTTTAGACTTCTCTGCATACATGCTGCCTAAAATAAGAAACTGAGCAAGAAAGAATGATGCTTCTGTAATTCCTTTATCCCCTCCCCTTAGCCAGGTAGGGGCCACCTACTCTGTGTTGGTTCTGTTAACAGCCAGCCTTTGCTCTTAGGCCAAGGAGTTTCTTCATCAGACTTTGAATCTCTTTCCCAAAATGTGATTTCCTTTTCCTCTCCCACAAAGGGCAGGCCTTGCGAGTTCAAGAAACCTGCTCAGCTCGTGCCAGATTGGTGCCCAGCAAGGAGAGAGCGAGAGAGAGTAAGAGTGAGAGCGAGCAAGATTGCGAGAGTGAGAGAGAGGGGGGAGAGAAAGAGAGAAAGAGAGAGAAAGAAAGAGAGAGAAAGAGAGATTGGGGGATGGCATTTTTCCTTGCCAGGGAAATGGCTCACCTCGTCAGGTAGAGGAATATTTGGTGGCCCATGAAGCAGGAGCAGAAAACGAACTCCTGGTATTCCCTTCACCCAGGGGACATGAGGGAGTTTGGGTGTTTGAAACCTGTAGAAATCCTGCTCAGTGTTTCACTTTCTTGCTCAAACTATGTTGTTTTTCTTTCCAGTTGTAGCATCTTGGTTCTCTCTTTCCTCTAGCTCCTACAGAGAGTGTCAACAAGTAGTAAAACAAAATAAAAAGATTTATGTCCATGTTGGGAGGATGTAAAGAACCTAGATAACTCCAGCCAATCAGCCCTTGCATTGTTGGGAGTTGATTGTTGGACTTTAACATCTCGTTGTGGGCCCCTCCTCCCTTCTCCATTTCAGATTCTCTCTCTCTCTTTCTCTCTCTCCCCCTCCCTCCCTCTCTGTCTCTCTCTGTCTCTGTCTCTTCCCTCTCTAAATCTCTCCCCCTCTCTCCTTTTCTTCCTTTCCACATCTTCTCTCAAGGTTCTTTTCCAGGGCTGGGGGATTTGCCTTTACAAAATCCACTGAAATTACCCAAGATCATTGTCAGAATAGGTAACCAAGATGATGCCTGGAGAGAGAACTGGGAGCACCTTTCAAACCTGGTACCAGAACAGCCCAAGCAAAGCTCTAAATGCAGGCTGGAAAATGCGATAGATGTTCAAGAGGCCTCCATACCCTCTGCCATCACCTCTGACAGATTTGGACTTCTACTCGTTTTGCATTTTTACCTTCTCTGTTCCTGATGGTTTCTGTGGGGAGTGAGGTGATTTTTTTCACCTGAAACTGCCACTAAGCCGAAAAGAACAGTCACCACCAAATCAATTCCTCATCCATTAACAGGTTGTCTCTGTTCTCGAGACACACAGGCATAACCTGGTTAGACCTGTTTTGTTTGAACACTAATGTGTGAGTTGGCCAAATGCAAATGAGCCAATGTTTGTAATCCTTTATTTTATTTTTTTAAAGGGCTGGGCAGCCAATCAGAAGAGGGGGAAGTGACTTAGGGAATTCCCGGTTGGTGGCTTATTGCTTAACATCGTACAAAATGATTTTAAATTATTGTCATATGCATTTATCTTCACTCTGATGAGGGCTCAGACGTGATAGCACTGTAGCTCCCCAATCCTGTAGGAGCTGGCGTGCTACCTACTGCCTCCTCTCCATTAGCCAGAGCTATTGGATTTCCCACCCAGAATCTTTAGGTAAATGAGGTAAGTCCTGATTTTTAAACCTTCTTTTGAACCTGGAATTCAAATACCGGAGTGGAAAGAGAAGCCTGTCTTGAATGAGACAGATGAAATAAAACACACTCCCGGAGGCAGCTGGCAGGAAGTGAAGCTTGCTTTACCTGGGCTCACCTCACTGGGTATTGTTAGAATCGCATTTTGAGGGGCAGCTGGGCTGTTTTGGATGTTATCTGTGAATTCCTGCATTGTCTGGACATCTAAACATGGTGAATATAAAAGCCCTCATGGCAAAGCCATGTCCCCTGGGTTGGATTCTTGTGAAACAAAAAACAGACAGGTAGCTCGGCCATTGCTCAGTACAGGGTAGGTTGGCTAAGGAGCTGTTGGAGCTTTGAGTACAACCCCTTCTTTTCTACAGGTATCTTTTGCTAATAATTTTCTGACATAAGCTATAGAGAAAAACAAGTTAATCTGTGTGTTCCAACTCCTAGGAACTGGCTAGAAATAGGCAAAATAATTTATCCCCACACTGGAAAGAGGGACCAACTGAGCCAAAGTAGGCAGCAGGAACATTGGGAGGAGCTGAACCCTTAAAACGACTCTGTCTAGAAAATCAAAAGCAATGTAGGGAAAGTATTTTACCATATTTTGGGGGACAAACTAACCCTTTGTTTCTCTGTAATGGGCTCTATGGCTAGACAAGCAGATGTGACTCACTAGCAGCAAATGCCTTCGCTATAGGGACTCTTTTGATTTTGTTTGTGTGCCGCCAAGCAATATTGGTTACTGCATAGACTGGGAATAGAGGAGAAGTAATCTTTATGTTGGTTGATCATAGCACTGCAACAGCAAAATCACATTTCCAACATATTTGCTAACGCAGGGTACTCCAAGTAGTAGGCAGGGATTATTTGGTTTTGTTTTTAGATGAAATGTAAGATTTTGTGAGCCTGTTTACAAATATCTTTGGTGGTTGTTGTCACTGATCCCCAGTGACAGAAAAAAAGTGAATGAGTAGATTCTGAGCACTTCCTGACTGAAGCTGTGTCTCAGGCCCTGGTCCTTTGGACATAGGTGTGAGGATGAGTTCCAATGGTGTCTTTCAATGTGGAAAAGGGAAGTTGAGTGTCACACAGAGCTGTGTGCTACTTCCCCTGAGGTCAAGAGAAGAAGAGATTTCCAACAGCATTAATAAAGACGTTAGGAAGAATTTCATGGTTAGGAAATGCTATTAGAGAAGGCTCTTAAAGGGATTTGAAGAATGTAATCGCTACCTTTGAAGTTTGTAGAAGGCTCCATTGTCCTCTTTTTGTCACTTAAAATTCTAGGACTTTGAAATAACTCATCAAGACCATCTTCTCATAATATGGAGCCAAGTGGTTCCATGCCATTTCTACCTCAATAGGTAATGGTGTTTAAAAACTGGAGGAAAATGAAGTGAGAGTCATTTGGACCGTGTTTTCAAATTGTTTGATGGAAGCAAGAGCAAGACTGGGAGAATGGCTAAGATTAAAGTCTTCTCATCTCATCATTCAGGATGGTTTTCAGGATCTTTTAAAGCTAGCTAGGGGCAGAGCAAGATGCTGGTGTAGGTCTGATCGGTACAAAAGTTCTCAAATTTACTTACATTTATTCTGTTGTGCTAAAAATGACCAATTTGTTGGATTCGCTCAAACTGTTAGATTATTTTTATGTGAATGCAATTGATTAATAGTATTAATACATACTTTATCATTTACTACATTCTAGAATTTAAAAAATTCTTAATATATTCATTGATTGCAATTTCTTGTAGAAGAGCCTTGAACCATTGTAGCCCTTTAACATGATTCCCAGCTTAGAAGTTTTTGGAAGTACTCCCATTCACAGACCAGATCTACCAGGGGCCTTTTTGGCTTCTCAATGGTCTGAGACAAAATGGAAACCGAGAAGTTACGATGTGGACTCAATTATATTCAGCAAGCTAGCTGAAAACTAGAAGGAACTCATATTAAGTCTCAGGTCAGCGTGCGTTCTTTGGGTCAAAGTATCTTTCTAAGGAAGTAGAATTTAATTTTCTGGGGTCCTGCAATGTTTTATTTCCTTTCTTATCTCCTGTCACTCCTCCTTGAATTTGGGTCCTGAACACTGGGTCATGTTTATTGAACTTCATTGCTTTTCTGGAAGTCTTGTGTAAGAACCAATGTTTCGTACTACAGTGTCACACAGTCAGAGATTCAGACATTATAAGGGTTCTCCTTCCTCCAGGTGTGCTTTCAAACAGAGGTGGCCTTCAAAGACCTCTGGGAGACAGGATGACATGTGGGCATTAAGAATATCATAGCAGAATTTGCTAACACCCTCCAGGGACAATGCCATGCATTTAGTGAATCAGAACTTTGGTGGCACCATTTTACAGCGATTTCAGCCCATTTCTCTTGTTAGATTTACTCTTTGGTAATGTCAAAGTGGTGTCTTTTCTGTTGAGGGTGAGGTTCTTGAGACATTGTGTGCTGTTTAGAGACTGCACACATTTTCCCTGCCTTTGTTACCTGGCAAAAGCAGAGCATAGTGGCTGTCAGCTTGAGTCAGCCGAATGTGTGGTGGGGTTGTTATTTGAGCACAGAGGCCAGAGACAACCATACTTTATTATGTCTCTGAATAACTGAAAGCAAAGAATGGATATTTTACTTTTTCAGACATTTTCATATGTGAGTTTTAGAAAATGCTCTCATTTATTCTAATGAGCAATTGTACTCCTATTAAAAATTGTTTTGTGTCTTTAACTTGGACAATTTGAAAGGGCCAGATTGCTAGGCTTGTACGGGAAATCAGCAGTGCTGAGTGGCGAATACACCTTCAAACAAATCATCTCAGGAGAGACCTGTTTTCTAGCCACATGACAATGAGATCAGGAAGCAGTGATATACTAGAGGAAAAAGTCCCATGGATCTTTCAGAGTTATTTGACAAAATAATCCTGGGGAGCAAAGATAGTTTCTTAAGAATCTTTTCTGAAGAAGGCCAGATTCTACCTTTGGAGTGATGGGCACACTGTGTGGTACAGTGCTCAGGATGGTAGTCAGAAGAACTGGCAAAGCTATGTCTCAGAGCACCATACTCTACCTCTCTGAACTTTGGTTTCCTTCTCTAGACAAACCTGATCATCTTTAAAATCCATTTCAACCCTCAGGTACTATGGCTGATTTGACCAAAGTGGTGGGGTGGGGGAGGGTAGAAAGGAAAGGGGGCAGCTATGTCTGAAGGTAGGGGGCAGTAAGACTACTTGGGAAGTGGGTGGCAGATGCCCTATCCGGATGAGATAGGAAAGAAGAGTTGGGTCCACACTTAATTTCCTTCCTTGGATCCCTCAGAACTTTAGCTAAGGGATTATACTTCGAGGAGGTACTTAGACCCAACACCTGGAGTTTTGTGGGTGTATAAGAGTCTACTTCCATCCATACCCCATCTTTATCAGTTTTTGTCCCGTGCTCAAAGCCAGCGTGAGTGTGGAAGTGGGTGAAGCTGTGAGCATAGGAAGTAGCCAATGAACAGGAGAAGATACTCTAACAGTGCTGTCCACAAAACACCGCTGGTAAGGTGGCATTTGGCACCTTGGCATCCAGTCCGTCCATATGGGCCCTTGTGAGTTTGCTACCCTGACCGTCCAAGAAAACTGGGCAGATGGGAAGGATCGGGGCTCCTTCTCTTTGCAAAGTCTCAGTGGGAAGTCGTGGAATGTTCCCTGAGGGCCTCAGCCATGTATCTGGAGTAACTAGAGCTTGTAACAGGGTCAAGCAGGGTGTCCCACTTAAAGATGTTCCTAGGGTACTAATTGACCTTGTTTTAAAAGAGACACCCTGTAAAATACTCCTTTGAAAATGATTTCACTAGCACCTAACCACATTCTGCCCTCAGTTTGTTGGACGGGACTGGGCCCCTTTACTCTGGCCTATGGGATTCACGTTCTCCTCCAATCTTTCTCAACTCTTGGGACCCCAGAGCGTGTCTTGGGTATTTTCTTGAAAGCATTGTAATTATTGCTCAGGGTACATGGCTATTTATTTCAAATATAAACAGTGTGGCTGCATTTAAAGCATGCTTTCTCGTGAAACAAAGCCTAAGCTTAAAAAGGAGCCAAAGTGCCAAACTGATAATAGTCTGATAATTGAACTAATGAGGCACCTTATTAACGCTGCTATCAGCAGAACAATTTATTTCTACTTTTTCATGACCTTGTCTGCAGACTTTCTTTGATATGTGTTGTAATTGTGGTGAACCTGAAATATTATACCTACCACTTCCTCCTCACTCCATGTCGTAGATACACAAACAACAACATATTGAGGGCCAGCATCTTACAAGTTAGAGATTGGAGAAATTTCAATCCCTCCATTAGCCTTCCTCCTTGCCTGGTGCAAATTATCCTCCAAAGCTCTGACAAACTTTTCTTGGAATAGGAAAAGGATCTTCTTTGGAAAATTTCCTTAGTAGAGTTGATGGAGTATTTTAGAGGACGAAGTGAAGGTAGTCTGAAGAACTATTTTCTATTTATATAGTGACATGGTTCTGTTTATATAGTAACAAGACAGGTTTTTTGTTTTGTTTTGTTTTGTTTTTTTGTCTGTAGTGAGGCTTCAACTCAGGGCTCAGGCCCTGTCCCTGAGCCCTTTTGTCCAAGGGTAGCCACAGCTCCATTTCCAGGTTTCTAGTGGTTAAGTGGAGATATGAGCCTCATGGACTTTCCTGCCAGGCTGGCTTTGAACTGTGATCCTCAGATCTCAGTCTGCTGGGTAGTTAGGATTACAGGCATGAGTCATTGGCTTCTGGCACCAGATTTGTTTTGTCTTTGTAGGAGCCTGTGGATTCGACCCTAAATTTGGTATATGCTTAGACTTTGTCCACTTAGAAAACCAGAGAGCACCGAATCACAGCTTCTGCATCTCCACTGGTCAGAGGTGGAGAAACACTGTTGGAAAGCAGAGGTTCACTGCTGTGTATCTGAAGAGGCTGGCAGCAAAGGAGTCTTTATGGCCTGTGAGCAGC